CTCTGATTGGATATTTCATACATATCCTGGACTCAACATTTCCAAAAATGAACTCATATTCCTGATTTTGGTAAGAACACTATACACTCTGTAACCTAAGCTATATAACAATATCTATTGTAGCACTCATCATAAAGCCTTGTAATAATTATATTCCCAGCCCCACTTGCCTACAAAGTGTTGAAGAAGGAGCACTGTGTTATTCTTCTTATCCTATACACTTTGCATGACGAACAGTACATAGGAGGCACTTGATACATGTTTTAATGAATGAATATATGAATGAACAAATGACTGAATGGATTTATAGAAAAGATGAAATTGCAGAGAGATATTCAATGGCAACACAGAAGAGGAACACAACATAGGTACTCTTCAAAAGCTATAATTTAAAGATCTATGTGCATGCATAATTTTCCAAAAATTGTAAATACACAGTTTTCCTATAATATTATTTAAACAGAAGGTTTCAGTGAAAAGAAGTACCGCAATTTTAAATTGCTAGAGTTTCTTTACTTTTTAGTATTCATTGAATTTTGTACATAAAGTGCTTCAGGTATTTAATTTAAACTGATGACAGTATGTGAAGCTTTGAGATTAATAACAGTGGAAGTAAACTTCTACAGACCAAAATATGCTTTCATTTTTCTAATAGAAATTTTATAATTAAATACAGTTTATGCTAAGTAACCACAATACTAGTGAAAGAACATATTTATTTTTAGATTAAGGACAGCTGCAGAATCTTTCTTAATAAGTGAAGGTATAATTTGTATTTGTGTTATCATAAAAACAACTCTGGTTGTCAATTTATTTGCTAGAAAAACAATTAAATGCCTAAATGCAAACAGAATAAAAAATATAAGATTCTGCTTTCAATTTGCATTAATATAGTCATACTCCGTGGCTCACTTATCAAATTATTCCTCTGTAAAGAAGCTATTTATTTACTGTCACGGATTAATAACAACACACAATCACTATACATTCCAGAATTTTCTGGGCTTGAATTTTCAGAGAAATCATGCAAGAGAAATAATTTCTGGAGGGTGCTATTGGTATACTGCCTAGATTTTTTTAGTTATTTACTGTACAACTTGCATTTAATTTGAACAGCTAATATTTTGATATTTTAACGTTGTTCACAAAATTAAATCAAAGGAAAAAGAAATCCAGAGGGCAAACGTCTCAGAGTGAAATGATAAAAAACAGCTCCAATTTATTAATTAAGCTACTATGCCCCGCAGTTGTTTCCTTCTGTGTTTAGCTATCAAACTTCTTAAGAGTCTTCACTGCCTAAAGGAGAAAGTTCTAAATTTAAATTCTCAAAAATCTGGGTTAGCCTTTTCCATTTCATTTCCTCCTTATGCAACCTAAGCTCCCATTACCCTGAACTCATCTCAATTCCTTCCACACATTATGCTTACACTGTGAATTTTCATTTCTTCTGCCTTGTTCAGTCTGTATCATCTATATGGAAGCAAATATCCCCCCCTTTTTTCCTCTAAAATTCTAGACGCTCCATTCTCTATCGTGATAGCTTGCAAACTGACCGATTATTTCCTGAGTCCTTCTTTTCATTGTAGTATTTTGTCAGCTGTTGCCAATAATAACAGACATGTTGCTGACATACTCTTTGTCTGTCATGTCACTGAAAGCTATGAGTTCATCAGGGATGTTAACTGCCTCCCGATTAAATGAGAACTGTTTTAATGAGAACTGTTTTACCAAATGGCCTATCACTGCATAACACAGACTGCCATCCTTCTCGCCTCTGGTAATAGTTACCTTGTCTTCTGTTGCTGGGTCCTGAATCCAATGTCACGTATTTTAGGATTTTTATCATGATAACATGCAACCACACTTTCAGTGCCAAATTCTGTATTAGTCAGAATAGGCTAGGTTATGTTGCAGGAACAAACTACTCTCAAATCTGGTGACTTGCAACAATAAAGGTTTGTTTCTTATTCTTAATACATGTCCACCATAGGCCAGCAACATCTCTGCTCGAAGTAATTTTCAGCCTGATACCAAAAGCTGTATCTGTAACATTGCTGATCTTGTGGCAGACAGAAAAGACAGAACATGGCACAGGTTGGCTCTTAAAGCTTCTGCTTTTGCATGACACATGCCACTTTTCACATCTCATTGGAATAAAGCAAGTCATCTTATCAAGCCTGACATTAATGAAGTAAGTGATGTCCCCTTCCAGGGAGAGGCAGCAAGTATTTGTACACAATATAATCTACCAAACATACCAACCCTACCTACTTCTAAAGCTAAAATTTGTTTTTACAATATGTGTCTTCTACTATGGCTTCTTTTTCCAGACTGTCATTTTTAATCTTCCAGTTTCTGCTTAAAATAAAAGTCATAGACTCTTTCTCCTAACTTTAATGTGCAATTTAAACTTTTACAATTTGACATTTTGGTTAATATTTACTGAAATAGTTATATTCTGTAACCTTTGTTAACATTTCCAAAGGCATCACTTGACTACCTATATTACTGTTACTTCTAGAAACTAGGTCAATGACAAGAAAGGAAGCCACTGGATTTTACTTTCTTATAAACAGTGGCATTACCGTACACCTATTAACTTATTTTATTACCAACTGTTATCATTAAAAATAAAGTACTGCAAAGAGAGGCCTTCCCCCTCCCCATTTTTTAAATGAAAGCCTACCTACACTTACTGCTATTAGGTTTCTGTGTTCACTTCTAAGTATTTTCCGTGATCATTGTACTGATTTTTTTTTAACATAACCGTATTCCTTACCATAGTGTATAAGGTCAATGTCAGAGATACCTTCACAACCTCTCTGACCTCATTTTTGTTATGAATCAGCCACACTGGCCTCCTTTGAGCATTTTATGTACTTATTATTTTTTAAAATCTCAAAACCATTTCTCTTGACAATTGGAATGTTCCTTCCCCAGATTTTCACCAGGTTACCTCCTTTTTTAAAATCTAGGTTTCAGGTCAAATATTACCTCCTCAGAGGGACCTTCCATGTCTACTCGGACTAAAGTAACCTTTCCTCCATTCCTCTACGTCCTTTTCTCTCTCATTATTCTATTTTATTGGTTTATTACAATCTGAAATTACCTTATTTATTTGTTTAAGATTTGTCTTCCCAATCAGCACAGAAATTTCATTAGGGAGGAACAATTTTTCATTCACTGCTATCTCCCTAGTTAGAACAGTGCCAGATGCAGAGTAGAGGCTTAATATTAAGATTTACTGAGTGAATGAGAAAGATACCAGTCTTTCTAAGTTTCATAACATTATCTTAATAATCACCATTTATTTTTTTCCTATCTTGTTGGCCATATCTCCCCTTACAAGCATTACATATTGGAATTCCTCAACTCCATGTCCTTTGTCTCTCTTGTCACTCTACCTTCTCTCTCTAAAGAATCTCATTCAGTTATATGGCTTCATTTCTTATTAATAAACTGAGTCCTAAAGGTATTCCTCTAGTTTAGATCTCTCTTCTCCCCTACATAAATGCACCTGGATTTGACATAAACACATTATCTATCCTCTGTTGTTTCTTATCTCAATAATTGGCATCTACATCCACACAGCCAGTCAAAACTGAACCTCTGAAATTATCCTGGACTCTCCCTTCTCTTCACTGGCCTATATTTGACCGGTTATCAAGTCTTGTTGGTGCTACCTCTTAAATACCTCTGGAGTCTCTTTTTCACCATCACATTCCCTATACTAGTCCAAGCTACTATTATCTCTCACATGGACTACTGCAATGGCCCCTTAACCAGTCCCTCCCCTTTTATGCTTATCTCCTCTAATTCATTCTTCATAGACAGAGCAATAATTTAAAAACCACAGCATCTTGTTTTGCTTAACTCTGTAATGCTCTCAGCATAAAACCTATGATGTGTACGTAACCATTGGTCCAGCAGATCTGATCCCCTACCCCTTGCTCTCCCTCTTCAGTTCCAACCATACCAGACCTCCCTGACTTTTTTCCTCAAAAAGTCTCTTTAGTTTCAGACTGTCGCATCTATTACCTCGGTATGTACACCTGCATCCGTTTTCACTTGGTTAATGTGTACTCCTCCTTGAGGTCTAACATTACTTATTCGGAGAAGAATTTTCCTACTCTTTCAGACCCAATTATTTGTGTGATCAATTTGATTAACGCTTTAAGCCATGTATGAGGTTGGAGGGGGTTCAGATTGTCCCCAGCGTCCCCTTAAAGCCTGTTCCAGGGAAGACTTTTGGGAAACAACCACCACACCACAACCCAGTTAAATGAAAATTGTATCGGGGTACTGGAAAAGATTATGTATAGCGACACAACCAATGAAAACATATTTCTAGAATGCAACTTCGGGCCCAGGAACAGGGATAGTGGCAATGTCGCAAAGGTGTTGGAACATTCAAGCGAGTACCGGGAACCGAGGGTTTAGAGATCACACTGAGAGGACTACTGCTATCTTTAAGACATTAGACTAGTTTCTAACTTCTGCCCATAAACGACAGTTAAGGACAGGAAGCAGCTGCAGTACTTGCAAACCGCAGTCGCTGACCTTAGCGGCAAGAGACACGACCTGCCCTCCAGGCGCCCGGCGCTCGGCAGCCAAAGGCGCCGCGCAGCTCCCTCTGCGGCGGTCAGGGTGACCGGCGCGCGGCCAGCACGCGCGCCCCCAGCGCGTCTGCGCGCGGACCTGGCTCGCAGGCGCCTAGCAAAAGGACCCCGGTCGCGGAGCGCGCGGCCAGTCCGCCCCCATTTCTCAATACGGGTCCTCCCGAGAAAGTGCCTGTCTAGTCAATCGAAGAGTTTCAGTTTTGACACAAAAAATTACTCATAAGAAGTATGTATAGCATAGGAATGAGAATATTTCGCTTTGTAGTGGAATGCTGTTGGTTTGGCAAGGTTAGAGCGGATGCGTGAGGCGCTAGATCAAAGCAGGCACCGTTAAGGACAGCTGCATACGGGCCCTCCTGCCCAAGCTGCCCTCCGAGCCAGGGGTCCTTCAGGTGGGAGGTCCTGGGTGACTTTGGACGTCCGCTCCCCCTCAGTGTGGAGGCTGTTTAGTCTCGGGCCTTGCAGGTTTATTTTACTCTCCTTTTTGACTCGAGGCTTCTGTTTCACCATGTTCCGCCATATCGTCGGTCAGGCCAAGAAGCATCCTAGCGTAAGTTCGTAAACCTTTTCCCAGTGTCTTCACTTGTCCGTCCTGTGTCGGCATGCGGTTGCCTCAGTTCCCTGGGAGCTTCCTCCTTCACAGTCACCGCTCCTCAGGGCTGGACCTGCCTCACTTTGTCCTTTTCTCCTGGTTATCTCTGGACCTTGAGCTCTGACTTTCTACGCTATGCACTGTGGGATTTGGGCAGGCAGGTGGAAGGTGAGAGATATCCTTGAGGAAAATAAAGTAGTGAACGTTGCAACTGCGGTGACCGCGCGTCCTTTTGCAGGTTGGTCGGACCATGAGGGATAGTTGTGCGCTGTGTGGGTTAGCGACCAGCAAAGGTTAGGTACCCTATTTGTTGTGGTGTCAAGGATCTTTACTGCATTGCACCACCAGGCCTTGAAGCAAATATGAGGGTCTCTGAACTTGCAATCCTCTGTCTTGACATTTTGGGGGATTTTGGTAGCTCAGAGTTTAATCATAGTTGAGTTCTTTTCTCTCTCTCATTTTCCCCCAGCATAGCAACGTGCTGTGGTCCTAAAACTTGAGTCACGCAGTCTTTAATCTTTGTCTTAATCCCGGTTGCGTAACCTCGCATTAAGCATTGGTAGGAATATGTTTTCAGGTATTATGCGTCAAACCGGTATCTATAATAGGTGTGTTTCCCTTTGCTCTTTGACTCTTTATTTCGCAGAATTTATGTCTTTCATAACATCTGTATAGAAGCAAGCTTAAGTAATTTGCTTCGACCTTGTCTTTCAAACCTTGAGATCAAAGAAGCTGGGAATTTAATGAGAGTGATGTATAAATATTAGATAAAGAAGACGTTATATTTTCTTGAGAAATTTAAAATTTGAATGTTATTTTTAACACATTAAGCCAGAATCATCTTCACATCTTTTGGAAATTCTATTTGTTTCTTTTGAACACAGTTATAGGAAACCTTATCTCCATATGAGGTCTATATTCAAATTTTAAGACAGGATCAAAAAATAGCAGTTTGAGACCTTGGAATTACATAAAAACGATTGCAGTCTTTGTTTATTTTTATCAGTGTGTAGCTATTTGACAGTATGTATTAAAATCCTTGTTTATTTTGTTTTTCTTTCCAGTTGATCCCCCTCTTCTTGTTTATTGGAGGAGGAGGTACTGGAGCAGTGCTGTATGTCTTGCGGCTGGCAATGTTCAATCCAGATGTCAGGTAAGTGAAAATATTTAGAACTTTGTTGGTTTTTCAAACTAGTATAGAAGTCACAGTCTTTCTAGGGAGGTACTATCATCATCAAGTAGTAGAAAGAACCAGAGTTTTATAGTTATACAGTAAGTTCAGATCCCGGTTCTGCTGTCATCATTTACCTTTCCTGGTTCATGAAATTATCTAAATTTCAGAGTCCCATTTTCTCATCAGTTGAGTAGAACTGCTAATATGTATCTTGCAATGTTGTGAGGATTGAGATAAAAATAACTGCTTTTATAAAATACTTAGTCAGGTTTGCTGATACCTTTAAATATTTTTTGCCTGTTTTTCCACAATAGGGAATGTTTCTTTTTGAGGTTGGAAAAGAACAGGCATAGAAAAGATCTGGACATTGTTATTCTGTGCACATTTCTGTGTACCACTTCACTGGTGAAATAGAAAACGTTAGCAAAAGCTAAGCATAAAGTTTCTTGTTACTGGGTAGGGACAGAGACAGCTCTCTCAGGAGGCTGTGTTCTGCCTTTTTTCTGATTGATTACGCGGGATTGCTTAATATGGATCCTATATTACAACTCCATAATGAACACCATACTTCACCTAGTAGAAAATGGAATTGATCTATTCAAAATATTAGCTTTTTGAGTACAAAACTATTTTAAATAACGTTTTATTACTGTAACAATTATAATGTTTTATTTCTTTTAGTTGGGACAGAAAGAATAACCCAGAACCCTGGAACAAACTGGGTCCCAATGAACAATACAAGGTAAACTACAAAATTGTTTTGGAATTGCTGGAAAGTGTATTTTAATAAATTGTGTCACAGGGTAGTTTTTTTTTAATTGGATATGTAAGTAAAATTCCGTTATAATGAACTTAAAAGAGTTGCTAGGTTGTTATGTGAAATTACAATAGCATATTCTTTTTTTCTTTTTATGTTATTGGAACTTTATTTAGAGCTTGCTTTTTTTAAATTAAAGTCTAGTTTGTTTGTAATGTTTTCTTAATTTCTATAATGGCATATTTTTCCAATAAATATTTGTTAAAGGATTTTATTCAAAGACTTGACTCTGGATGTGAAATTTAAGATAATGTCTCAATTCTACTGATTTTACTAAGAAAAAAAGAGATAGTAGAGCTCTCATTTAACATTTTCTTATATCTTAGTATAGTGCAGTCATTCTCAAACTTCAGTGAACAAAGGCATCAACTGGAGAGACTGTCAAAAAACAGGAGATTCTTCAGTTGCACTCACAGAGATTCTGAGTCAATTGATCTGTTGTGACTGAGACTTTGCATTTCTAATAAGATATTAATACTGTAATACTTGATCATAGACCATACTTTGAGTAGCACTAGTATAGTGGCTGGTTTGGTTGGCTATTCTTTCTTGTTGTTATGGTTGAACTGTTTCAGGTGAGAACTAGTAGGAAGAAATGAAGTCAGTTGAAACTTAAATTTTACCATAAACCTTCTAGGTAAACTTTTTAATACCTTTATGGAAAAGTGGTTTTTGAAATAGCTCTTCCAAGGAATGATTTCATGGACTGAAACCATTTACTTTTATTTATTTTATTGAGATATAATTGACATATAGTATTGTGTAAGTGTACAACTTATTGGTTTGATGCATTTGTATGTTAGAGTGTGATTACTACAGTAGTGTTATCTAACACCTTTATCACATCATATAATGACTTTTGTGTTGGGAACAATTAAGAGCTAGTCTCTTAGCAACTTTGAAGTTTATAATAAAATACTCTTGAACTATAATCACTATATTGTGCAATAAATCTCCAGAACTTACTGATATACTAGTTGCAAATTTGTACCCTTAAACATCTCCCTAGTTTCCCCATCCCCAAGTCTCTGGTAACTACCATTCTACTGTCTGTTTTTACAAGTTCAGCTTTTTCAGATTCCACTTAAGTAATATCATATAGTATTTGTCTTTCTCTGTCTCACTTACCTCACTTAGCATAATGTCCTTAAGGTCCATTCATGTTGTCGCAAATCTGAGACCAGTAATTGATTCCCCAAACATAGCTTTACTTATGTGTAAAAATTTTGTGTACAAAGATAAACTCTTGCAATATTAGAGGTGGGATGGCAGCTTTATTAGGGTATGATCTGCATACCAGACAACTTACCCATTTAAGTGCATTTTTCTGCCATACGAGGCTGCTTCATCTAAAGAAAGAAATAGCAGTTTCCTTGAGCACTCTCAAGAAGAGGTGTCCTGACCAAGGAGTGTCCAGGACCCCAGCGGATATACCTCCATCATGGAGATGGATGCTATCATTACTGATAACAGTAACTTTTAAGATAATTATCACCTTTGCTGATGCCAAGCTTTCCACTCAACCGTATGATTATAATTTGGTTTCCAAATCTTTAATTTGGCTTCCAGATCTTGCTACAAGAAACACATATAAATGCACTGGTGAAGCTGAAGTGAGCCATCTAATCTGTGTCACATTTTGCCTCAAAAAACAATACACAGGCATCCTGATTTATTTTTTCTCTCCTGTAAATTCAAGTCCATTCTAGAGAAGATTCCATATCCAATAAACTTAAAAACAAAACAAAACAAACAAAGAAAAAAACAGGCCTTGGTCCTTCTACCAAAAAGCACATTGGAGATTTTGGGTATGTAGTTCAGAAAGCTTCCCAGTTGATTATGATAATGAAGCCAGTTACCAGTGTTCCAGAACATGAACGCATTCCAGTACAAGGCCATGTGAACTGGAAATGGAATGTTGCTGCAACAAAAATCTAATGTGTGTGGCATAGGTTGGGCTGTGAATAGCTATGACACTGATATTAGAGACTGGAAAGATGAATCATTTTATATACTGGCAAAATATTTGATAAACTATCACCTGCTATAACTTGGAAAATAGACCATGTGCTTGAAGAGTTCGTTATAGAAAAGGATTTTGGAAGACAGAATGTTAGTGGACTATTGCTGGCTGAATTTGCCAAGAGATGAGCTTGTAGAAGAATTGAGAATTTGCAAGCAGAAATAAAAGGGAACCAAGTCCAGAAACTTGTGAGCCTGGAGTGGATGATGTCTGCTACTGCTTCTAAAGCCAAACAGTGAGATAGACTAGATTATTCTCCGTCTATCACTCACTTCCCTATACCTAAGAGGTCTTTTTTGTATGATCACTGACTTACAGGTTTGGCCATGTGACTTGCTCTGGCAAATCAAGTGAGGAGAAGTGATATCTGCCACTTCTGAGGAAATGTGTGGTTGCCCCATTGTTCTTTTCCATGTGTCATGAGACCAGATTGACAGTTAAGGGCTGCTCATTCAGCCCAGGATTAGAATGAAGAGAACATAGAGCAGTCAGAACATCAAAGGCCTAGCAACACCTCTCAACTGAATAAAATGCCCCAAAGCCAAGATCACAGAATATGTTGTGCCTTCCCAACTCTTGTTCCAGAGACCTTCAAGGTAGCCATCATTAAATTGAGAAAAAGAATGGGGACATGGAAGCTGAAAAATAAACCAAATTTGAAAATTACTTCCACAGAGAGTTTTGATACTGGTACATGGAACTGAATAAAAGCAAATACATCATCAGAAGCCTGCTTAATTTTGAGAAAATTAGCAAAGATACTGTAACCTTTCCACTGTGCTTGGGTATAGGGGCTAGATCCTGCTTCTTACTCAGTGTTTGGCAAGTCATATAACTTGATCTTCAAGTGGCCTCTTTTATAAAGTAAGAATGAATAAGGTGATAATTAAGATAAATGTAAAGCATTCTGCCCACAGTGCCTGGGATCTATTAGAAGAGCCCAATACATTTTGTTTCCCTTAAAATATAACTTGCAGTTCCTTTTAGAAGTATTCCCTCTAATATTTAGTTAATATGTTAGAGATGATATAGTTAGTTTAAGTCTCACAGTCTAGGTTCAATTGCTTTATTCAAGAACACTGAAAAAATACTGCTTTATGACTCCAACATACTTTTCTGTTTGTAAAAGTCTGTATATGTATCTCAAAGATAAGCTTTACAATCTGGGAATTTTTCTTTTAAAGTCAAGTAAAATAAGAAATTTTTCAATTAGAGATAAAGAAGTTAGGATATGTTTGGAGAAATAAAAAGAATTTGAAGAAATAATGGACACACATTTATGAGCTTCTTGCTTAAAAACTCTGAAGAAAATGTTAATAATTCTGCAATTTTGATTCTTTTGGAGTTAAATAATGTAGTCTTCAACTAATTATAGCACAACCTCTTCAGTATTCTTTGGCACAAGAATGAGTAAACTCAAGATTATAGTCTTATTTGGGCTTATGCACAAATCCTAATGTTTCTTCAGTAGAAATTCTGGAGCAGTTTGAAGTATAAATCATTAAAAAAATTATTGAGAGGTAGAGGCAATATTTTAAGCAATCGTAGTAAGACAATTTCTAAAATTAATTTAAATTTAATATAAGGAAATTGAGGGAAATTTAAAAATTTCCAAATATACACTACTTAAAAGCAAAAGTACAATATCATTTAAAAGCTTTTGTACCAAACGTGGTCAAGCATGAGTTTGATTTTTGATGCATTCTGGGTTAGGAAATTAAGAAAACTTCTAAAGTTAGGAAATTAAGAAAACTT